ATTATGAGAAATTAATTCCTGTTTTTATAAGCCACCCAGTTATTTTACTTTGTCACAGTAAACTAAACTGACTAAGACAACCTTAATGTTACATGGAAAGAAAAACTGAGGTCAGCAGAAATAACCTTCCTGAAAATCTTTTTGCACTGTCACCTAAACCTGTACCAATTCTCGCAGGCTTCCTCTGCAAACCATCTTAGTCTTGTGTTCTGAAACTCAGGTCACCTCTAGAACTAATCCCATCAGTCATCACTTGTCTTTCCCTCAAATTTTCAGTCACTTTAGTTTTCCTTCTTTTCTGCCTACAAGTAGAATAAATGTTTCCACTATCTTAAAAATACCATGCTTCTGGATAATTCCATATACAGAAATGGGCTAAGCATTTTAGAAAGTGGTGTTTGATTTGAAGAACAAATAATATAAATATTTAAGTATTAAATGCAACTACATATAAAAAATACATTCCTCCTAAACTCTAAACAACAGACAGTGAATACCATATAAAGAAATCTACTTGGCAAGGGGGAAGTCCTGAGATTGATCACTGGTACAAAAGAAAAAAAATAAAACTTTAAAGTAAGAAATACTAAAGATAAAGAAAATGTTTTATAACAATGAAAACTTCAATTTATAGTAAGATACAAAATATTGTAAATTTTTATATTCTTAAATATATACTTCAAATTTTGCATATTCTTTTGAGTATATACAGCAAAGATGAACCAGAGTACAATACATATCTATAATATACTGAGGGTTTTATCACAACTCCATATGTAACTTAACAGAACTAGCAGGCACTGATTCACATAGAAATAGAAAGATTAATAGATCTTTTGGTCTATGAGACCTAATGGACAGATCAAAATTGGACTGTCAACTGAATATTGAAATCCAATACAACTATTCATAGAAGTTTGCTCAACTGAGCTAGGCACACCTGGCATTCCAAGACTTTTACAAGAATGATTACAGCAGTACAATATTTAATTGTCTAAAAATGGAGCAACACATTGATATTTCAGAAAATTTAATATATGAATTGTGATTTTTTTAAAAAAAATTTTGCTTTAATTCTGCTTTCATTGAAGTTACCAAAACTTTTCTTTCCTATCTGACAATTTTAAGTAAAAATATTTTTTAAAGTGCTACCTCCATTTCCTCATATCCATTTCACTAATTAATCCTTAACAATATTTACAGCCCCTATCTTGGCCTAGGAATTGTTCTGGTTTGGGCATCCCTTACAACATTCTATCATCTTGTTTTTAAAATTCTTATTCATGTTTTGCCTTCTTGCATCTTCAACATTGAGCTTGAAGCCTGAAATATATTTATATTCTTTGTTCTTAGTTTCTTTTTTAATGGTACATAGTTTAACTTTTATTGTGCATATTTCAGGTGCAAGTTCTCAATTTATCTTTTTATTAGTACATATTGACTATATACTGTAATGGTTTTATTGTGGCATTGCTATAAATATATATAAATCTTTTTTTTAATGTTTGACTCTAGCAGTTCTATTCCTGTTGCCAAAACTTATTTTTCATTGCCCCTCATTCTGTCATTTCAAGTCCATCAAATCCTCATTGGTTCTGCATGACTATCCATGTGGCAACAAAAGCTTGAATTGTAGGAAATTAATACTAGCACTGGACGGGGACATTTTTGCCCAGTGAGCAACGGAGGACAGAAAGATCTCAACAAAAAAGTTTTGCTCCCTCCTTCTTTCCCAAGAGACTGTGCCAAAACTGGGTTTCCATGTGTCTTATATGGTATGTCCTGCATGGCTGAGCAGGGAGCATGTTTCAGATCATGTCTAGCCAGCTCAGTAATGAATTATTGTGTCCTTGCTGCTTCTCATCCCCTACCTCAATCTCTTGCTTGTTTCACATTGCTTCCCTGGATTTTGCTCCTCAAAAAAGCTTTAGTATCTAAGTTTTTACTTAGGTTCTGCTTTCTAGAGAAATTATTCACGAAGAAAAGGAAAAGGGGTAAACTTTTAATTTCCTACTGAATGCCAGTGATTTTGATAAGTGACTTACATTTAATCTTTGTCTTTTAATCTCCACAGAAAACTAGGCAATGATATTCTGTTTCCCTTATCACAATAAAGAACTGAGTTTCAGTGAGCCTTATACAACTTACCCAGATGACACATGAACAGGGACAGCTAAGATGTTTATTTGAGTAAATCTTGCTTCAAAGCCAGTATTGTTCCAATTGTCTCTAATATATCACTGGAGCTTAGGAATTTTCCATCAAGTTTCAGTGTGGTGGAATTTGAAGAAGCTTTAGGGTGATTCAGTGGAAAACATTGTAAATATCCAAGTAAAGCAGTTAGAAAGTCCAGTGACACAGTGAGCAATCAGTTAAAGCAGATGGTTAAACTATTATTATTTGATATTTAGATATTAATCTATCGATATATTACCAAATGGAATCATATTGATGAACCAGCTAGACTTCAGGAAGATTACTTTTTACAAACATGAGTGCATGAAGGGTTTGGAAAATACACAGAGGTCCAAGAAGGTAGGAAACATCCCACCCAAGTCTACTTTAGTCTTCCATGCTGAACCTGAACTCACTTGGCCACTTCTGCTCATCTCCACCACCTAGATCAGTCTGTTCTCCCTGTAAATATCTTTGGGAACAAAAAAGTACATTATTTTAGTTAGAAAATTAATTTTGAAATAAAGTAGAGGTATCTTGACTGCCAGACTCTGAAATGGGAAAGATTTCCTTGTACTGCACAGAGTGTAACTGGCAGGGTTTTTTTGTGTGTCCAAAGGCTTGGGCCAGGATCCCTCTTTGGAAAATTGGAAAAAGACCAACATTGGACCGTGTCACTATTCATGTAGTATGTCTCCAGTTCTTGGTTTATGGGATGAAATTTTTTACTTTGTATCCCTCTTGTGGGATAAGGGAGAATTCTATTTGTGCAGTTGAAAAAATCAGACTGTTTGAAGACCTAATCATTTTCCCTTGATCTAATAAAGTGGGGAAAGATGAGCTCCTTGAAGATGATTATTGATCCATAAATGTATAATTATGAAAACAGATAGATTATATATTTGCTGAGAGAGCTTTACTACCACCTACCTGATACAAAAATTCATTTTGAGCTTGACTAACATGTTAGAAGATCTGCCTATGCCACTTGATGGGTGAATCTCTGAGCATCTCCAGGAGGGAATATGTTCTAAAAGAGGGCTTTTCCTCCTCCACATTTTCTCTGTGTGCTGTTTAATTGCATAGCTTCATTGTCAAGCACCCTTCCCATTCAGCAGTTACACAGTGTCTTGAAATATGGAATTCTCTTGCCCTCCATCTCACCTTCTGGCAAAAATCTGCTCAAAGAGATGCATCACAAATTTTATTAGGGATCATCTGGGGATCTTGTTGAAATGAACCTCCTGCATCAATGGTCTTGGAAAAGGCCTGATATTATATATTTTGCATGTCTCACAAGCTCCCAGAACACATTAATGCTATTGTCCTATGAAGCATCTGAATGTCACTTCAGAAACAAACAGCCAGATGGGGCTGAAGTTAGAAACAATGTTTTTTGCTTTCCTCCTGGGCTACATTGTTTTAGCTCTGAAGCATAAATGCAAAGCACTAATGGCTTACTCTCAAAATTATACACAAAAATGGACTTCAATGGTACTACTTGACTATCCCTGATTATCCTTGAGACCATGAGGCTCATTTTATTCAGTCTCTAACTAGTTATTTTCCATTGGATACTTTTATTACATGGTATAACAAGATTTAAATGTTAAAACATATAAACAGCAGTTTAATTGTATATTTAAATTCTATATTTGATTGAACAAAAGTAATACTTGTTATTCTGCTTCTGTTTATTTATTTTTTTGGGGGGGGGTACTGGGGATTGAACTTGGGTCCTTGCAAGGCAGGCCACCGAACCGCTGAGCTAAATCCCTGGCCTTTTCTGCTTCTGTTTCAGCTTTTTCATTTTCTGCTTGAAGGGTTCAGTCATTTTAATATCCAAAGAAACCATTATAGAAAATGCAACTGGTCCAAAACATGTTTAACCCTCTAGAACAGATGAAAGGGGTATTATTGTGAATGCTTTAAAAATGCTTAGTATATATTTCCTTTTATGCAATAAGCATAGCTGTATATTATATGGAAAAATATCTTACTTGGTAAAAATATAAATATAACGCTATATACAAACTATATCAATTCTTAGACTTATCCCTTATGTTCATTTTTGAAAATTACTTACCTAAATCAAATCTATACCATCTACATTTTATGAATATCCTCCTATTAGGAACACTGTCTCTAGATGCTATTATAACTATGAACATATTTGTAAACATAGCATCAGAAAAATCTCCTTAATTTAGGGGAGATTAAGGCATTAGGAACCATTTGCTATATTCTCCCATTTCAAAACATTTCTTGAAACCTATAGTTCTGAGAATAATATGAGCAACACGAAGGAGTGAAAAGTTCCCTCCTTCTACCATTGATCAATTTTCTCCAAGAGAAAACCAGAAACTAGTAGAAAGACTCCCACATACCAAATATCTGAGCGAATACCCACATTAGCAGGATGAAAAGTCTGAGAGGCACACATCTACACCACATTGAGCATAGCTCCTTAAAATAAGGAAGGAATCTCCAACTTGCAGATATTTCCTGAGGAGTGAAATGTTTGTAACACACATAAAATGCCTCATCTTTTTTTATAATCCCTGCTGAAAGGTTTGAAATTACTTTACTTGGACAGCAGCAAAGTGCAGCACTACAGAACTTCTCTGAAGCACAAAGATGTGATTTTGAATTGCAAGTGCTCCCAGAAGCTAAAGCCTTCAGGTTTAGTGCAGCTTCCAACTTCTTGCACAGAGGTTTGTCTGAATGCTGCTAGCAACCCCTTGAGATCTAGCTTCTAACTAGCCTGCATCTTGGAGTCTAAAGGGCAGAGAAAAGAGCTTGAATTAAAAAGATAGAATGTTCTGTATTTTATTTCCCAGTTTCTTTCAGCAATAAACACAAGCCTCTAGATTCTCTCTGGGAGGAGTTTGTGAAACTTCTATCAGTCTAAACGTTAAGATGGACACCCATAGCATCTTCTTTCTGGGCTTTCCACAACAGCAAATCCAGATCTTCAGACTCCCCAAAAGGAATTTGTGAGTTCATCAGGTGCCTCCACTTTTGCAGCTCCCACTTCAGCAACTGGTTTCTGAATCACCTCACTCTGAGACTTGATGGTCCTCTGCATAACTGAGCCTCCCTGGATCACACAAAAAAGGGGAGGTTTTTTAATTTGCATATTCAGCAGCTATTTCAATGGGCTAAGAGAATATACTTGAAGAACAGTGCAGATATCTGTCACAGGTACTCCACTTGGTATAGGACAAAATTAGTGTGAGATAAATTCTGGGTATCAGCTTCTCATGAAGAAAATAATATCAATTCTGTCAAAATGGCCATTCCCAGAGGCCCACCCAGATAACATTAATAAGTGCATGCAGATCCTAGTGAGAATCACATGTGGACCAAGTGTGTGTAGGCCCCAGAGGCTTCACCCAGACACCAGAAACTTGGACCCATGGGTCCCAGCAAAAGGCCTACATGGAAAAAAACTGAACAGGCAAATGAGCAACAGCCAGAGGCCCATCTAGATGCCATCAATAAGTGTACATACATCCCAGCCTACTCAGACACCAGCAACTCTGGTTCACAGCCCCTAACCAAAGACCCACCAAGACAACAGCTACTATTCAGGTGTGCAGGGCCCAGCCACAAACAAGCCTAGATACCATTTCAAGTGTACCCATCCCCTGCCAGAAGTCTGCCTGGACAACAGGGCAGTGCAGGAATCCATAAGGCTGCCATTCTAAACCCATGAATTAGCCCAGGGGTGAGCAGCAGAAAGAAGGGCTCTCTGAGGCTTGGTGAGAATTGAATCACACTGAAGAAGCAAAAAGTTACCCAAACAAAGGTATAGTAGGCTGCATCTGTTGAAGTGAGTAAACACATAAACATGTTTCAAAAGCAGACTGCCAGATCGCCTGAGGCAACTCCAAGGGGCAACAAGATGGAACAATTTGATACTAAACCACTTGGACTCCCTGAACTGGCAATGAAAGAGGATCTGGAAAAAGTAAAAAAGAAATGATTTCTCAGATAACAACAGAGATTGTGTGCATAGTGAAAAACATGATTAATAACTCTAGAGCAGTCACATACAAAAAAAAAAATAGATCAGCTGAAAAACACGATGGAATTCCAGCATAGGAAACTAATAGATTCCATAAAACAGATTCAATCAGATATCCAGGTGATTAAAAACTCCAGTGAAAATTTACACAACAGAATGACCCAATGTGAGGACAGAATATCAGCTATAGAAGCCAGGATTGCAATTAGATACCAGGAAAAGAAAAATTTCTTAAAAATACTAAGGGACCATGAGAAATCAATCCAGAACCTGCAAAGAAGCAAAGGAGAATAACAACACAGATCAGAATCAACAAATAAACAAGAGAGTGCAAATTACATTAAAAAAAATTGTTCAAAGAAGTAATGACAGAAAACTTCCCAAGCAGGGGGAAAGGGCTTAACACAGATAAGTGGAATATAAAAGACTCCAACAAGACAGGATTTTTAAAAATTTACATGTAGGCATATAACAGTTACGATTACAGAAAACTGGCAGAAGAACAAAATTCTATAAGCAGTTAGAGAAAAGAAACTAAGTACAAAAAAAGGAAAGCCTATCAGAATCACAGCAGACTTCTCAACACAAACACTCAAGTCAAAAAGAGCCTGCAGTGAAGTATTTCAAACCCAAAATGAAAACAACCTCCAACCCAGATTGATGTATCCAGCAAAACTATCTTTCAAATTTGATGGAGAAATAAGATACTTTCATGACAAAGAGCACCTGAGGAACTTCATGAATACAAAAGTAGAACTCCAAAAATTTTTAAACAATATCCTAGGAAAAGACAATGAAGATCACAATCTCAGGAAGTCAAGAAGAACAAATTCATCTGGCAAGACAAGAAATTAAATGTAAAGGGGGAGAATCCAACAAAAACAAAAAGGCATGACAAGGATAAATCAACATATATCAGTTATAATCATCAATGTTCATGGTCTCAATTCACCAATCAAAAGAAATAGATTGCCAGAATAGGTCAAGAAGCAAGATACAGGGTGAAGGGAGGGCAGAGGTATGGGGGAAAATAAGAACCAAGATAGATCATGTAAAGGTACAAGATCCCAATGATAAATGTAACTGTATTGTTTGCTTTAAGTGTACAAATAAACTAAATGGGGGGAAAAAGAAGCAAGATCCAACAATATGCTACATGCAAGAAACACAATTCAAAAATAAACTCTTAGACTGAAAGTTAAAGGATGGAAAACAATACTGCATGTGACAGGAACACCTCCCAAAAAAGCAGGAGTAGCCATCCTACTTTCAGATTAAATGGATTTCTAACCAGCACTAATTAATACAGACAAAGAAGTACACTACACCCTTTTAAAGAGAAAAATACAAGAGAGATGACAATCATAAATATATATGCCCCAAACACCAGTGCACCCAAGTATATAAAATAAATATTAACAGACATGAAAGAAATCAAATAAGCACTAATACAATAGTAGTAGGGGACCTCAATACCCCACTGTCACAGATAGGTAGATCAACTAGATAAAAATAAAAATTGAAATACTGGAACTCAAACAAACTCTTAAACAAATGGACTTAACAGATGTTTACACAGTATTCCACTCCACAAAATCACAATATACATTCTTTTCTGCTGAAAACAGCTCATTCTCCAAGACAAACCACACATTTACTCATAAAACATGTTTAAGTAAGTGCAAGGGAATTGAAGTTATTCCAGGTATATTATCAGACCATATTGCAATGAAATTGGAGATCAGTAGCAAAAGAAACCACAAGAATCTCACAAAAACAGAATTTGAACAACACACTCCTGAATATCCAAGGGTCACAGGAAAAATTAAAGAAGAAATCAGAAAGTTTCTACAATTCAATGACAATCCAAATACAACATATCAGAATCTATGGGACATGATGGAAGCACTTTTATGAGGGAAATGCATAGCAGTGAATACTCTTATTAGGAAAACAGAGCTCCATTATTAGGAAAAGTGAGCTCAATTGAACAACTGGATGCTGAACATCAAGCTTCTAGAAAAAGAAGAGCAGGACAAACCCAAAACTAATATAAATGAGAAAATTATAAAGATCTCAGCAGAAATCAATGCAGTGGCGACTAAGAGAATGATGCAAAAAAAATCAGCAAACCAAGGAGTTAGTTCTTCAAAATAATAAACAAAATTGACAAACCCTTAGAGAACTTTATCAAAAATTTGAAAGAAAAGATCCAAATCCTTGCAATTAGGAATAAAAAGAGTGAAATTACAACATAACCAGCCTATATTCAGAGGATCATCAATACGTACTTCGAACCTATAGGCCAATAAGATGGAAAACACAGAAGAAATGAACAAATCTCTAGATATATATGAATTACCAAGTTGAACAAGAAAGACCTAAACATTCTAAACAACCCAATATTGTTGAAATTTAAAATGTAATTAAAAACTTAGAAACTAAGTAAAACCTGGGTCCTATGGCTTCACTGCAGAATTCTACAAGATATTTACAGAACTATTACTACTACTGTTTAAACTTTTCAGTAAAATTGAAAGGGAAGCAATACTCCTAAATTCATTCCTGGAAGCAAGCACCCCTTTGATTCCAAAGGCAGAGAAAGATCCAACCAAAAAGGAGAACTATAAGCTAATGTTCCTAATGAACATAGATGCAAAAATCCTCAATAACATATTGGTAAACAAAATGCAGAAAGTCATCAAGAAGATCATACACCCTGACCAAGTGGGATTCATCCCAGGGATGCAGGGATGGTTCAACATACACAAATCAATAAATGTAATACACTATATTAATAGAGCCAATGGCAAAAACTATAAGACCATCAGAGTAGATGCAGAAAAAGCATTTGACAAAATCCAACATGCATTCTTGATTAAAAAAAATAACCCTACAGAAAATTGTAATAGATGGACTCTATTCAACCTGATAAAAGCCATCTATGAAAAACCAATAGACAATATCATACTAAATGGTCAAGAACTCAAATCCTTCACACAAAAATTAGAAACAAGACAAGGTTGTTCACTATCACCACTCCTGTACAATATAGTCTTGGAAACATTAAACCACAATAATTAGACAAGAGAAAGAAATATAAGGAATAAAGATAGGAAATGCAGAAGTTAAATTGCCATTATTTGCAGATGACATGATACGCTATGTAGAAACCCAAAGAACAACAACAACAACATTGGACCTCCCAAATTTAAAGACCCAGTCCAAAAATGGGCATCTGAACTGAACAGACATTTCTCAGACAAAGAAGTAGAAATAGCAAATAAACATATGAAAAAATGTTCAACATCATTGATCATTCAAGAGATACAAATTGAAACAATGCTGAGATTCAATTTCTCCCCAAAAAGAGTGGCTGCTATCAAGAAGTCAATAACAAATGCTGGCAGGGTAGTAGAAAAAGGGACCCTTCTCCACTGTTGATGGAAGTGTAGATTGGTGCATCACTTTAGAAAGCAGTATGCAGACACCTCAAAAAACTAGGATTAGAGGATCCATTTGACCCAATTATTCCCCTGCTGGGTACCTTCCCAAAATAACTAAAAGAATCATACCACAGGGATATATGTGTATCCATGTTTATAGCAGCACAGTTTGTAATAGGTGAAACTTGGAAACAGCCCAATTGCACATCAAGTGGAAACTGGATAAAGAAAATGTTTTTGTTTTTATTTTGTAAAATGGAGTACTACTCATCCATAAAGAATGAGAAACTAGAGGCATTTACAGCTAAATGGATGCATATTGAGGCCATACTGAAGTGAAATAAATAGGACACACATGTATAAATATCAAATACTTTCTCTGGTGTAAGAAACTGAAAATGTGAACAAGGATCAAAGTATATAACAGATATATACAAAACAGTATATAACAGATAATTTGAAATTGGAAGAAAAAGGGCAAAAAGGAAGTGGAATGGGTAGGGGAAAGGAATATAGGAAAAGGAATACATGTGAGAAAAGCAAAACAATGAAAAAAGTCTTTCTAAATAGGGTGGGGTGGAGGAGTTGAAGGGAGGGAAGGGGAATGGGGAACAAAGAACCAAG